GCAGATCTACTATATTTGATATTTAAAAATTCAAATTGGCAAGGTAATTTGTTACATTTTCTAATATGGCACAATTGGGCTCATGAGATTAGGAATCCAGTTGCAGTTAGACCATTTACCTAACCCAAACTTGAACAAGTCTAACCTCTCTGAGACTGTTTCCACTTATTTAAAATACTTATAGTGATAGAATTCGGGGGAATACAAGCTAAAAATAAACAATGTAAAATTAATGAGAACTACAAAAGATTATCCTATATAATAAAAGGCCAGCGACCATAAGGGCGTAACAACCAGAACGACTGATCGACCAGTCGCTATGAGGTGCATTGACCACCTCTCGGTCCCTTCCCCCATCCCACAGACTCCGATCGCTGGATGGCCAATGGGGAACCACGGGAAACTGGGGTGGGTGCTGGCGGTGGGGCGGGACTGGGGACTGGCAAGCGGGCGGAACGACTGACCTCTTGTTCCCTCCCCGCAGCCCACAGACTCCGATAGATCACCAGATGGCGAACAGGGAACCAGGGTGGGTGTTGGCGGCAGGGTGGGACTGGGGACTGGTGAATGGGCAGAAGATGGCCCTGATTGCAGGCTAGGCCTAGGTACCCTACCCACGCACGATTTCGCGCGCTGGGCCTCTAGTATTAATACAAGGCATAATGACTAATATAAGATGCGTTATTTTTGTCAATAACTTTTCACAGGTGTACATTTTAAATCCTCCAAAAAATTCTATGTGCTAACGTATGCAAATGTTGCTACTCATATAAGTTGTTTTGCAATTAATTAATTCATCTCCTTTGAAAACATATTTTCAGTTGTAACTGACCTCTCAGAATAACACCCAAGTATAAATATTATGTTAAAACTTCCATGATAAATTTGGTTTTCTTTTAGGCTCCAACCATGGGAAACAAGCATTAATCTTTTGATAGACCTATAAGAAATGAAGAAAATGGTTCTGACTCTCCTTCTAGTTCTTCCTGGTTGAGACTTGAAGCATGTACATAAAACTGAAATATGTTTTGAGATCACTTAAAGAAATAACGAACATCCTATCAAAAAGTGAGAAATTAGATAATGTGTTTTATTCCAATTAAAACAAGTTTTACCTAAGTTTAAATACCAGTCAAAATATTTACTATCTCAACCAGAATGGCATTTTCAAGATAGTGTTTGAGAAAAAGATAATTAGCTGTTAAACAGTTCATTTACACAATAATTTAAATGTGCCTTTTTTTTCTTTCTTTTTTTTTTTTTTTTTTAGAAAGAGAGAAACAGCAATGTGAGAGCTTAACATCAACTGGCTGCCTCCTGTACTCCCTCCATCAGGGATAGAGCCTGCAACCCAAGCATGTGCCCTGACCGGCAATCCAAAAGGCAACCTTGTGGTGCACAGGACGAAGCCCAACCAACTGAGCCACACCAGCCAGGGTTTGAATGTACCTTTTATATATATTTTGTTTTGTTCTGACATCAATCTGATGGCTCTTGAATTATTTTGTATCTAGACCCCAATGAACCCCATTTCATTTTTCAAAATTAGCCATACAGAAGGGATAACTTTAATATGGCTATTAGGCATCACACTCCATAGAGTTACTGGGAAAGGACTCTCGTGAAATGGCCATTTTTCAGTTCCCTGCATCCTCACAAGATGACATATAAATTTCTCTGTGCAGATGATCAATTGATTTTGTAAAAAATATCCAGATTCTGTAATTTAAAAGCCCCTTACAAAACGGAGTCTGACTGTTACAGGTCTAGAAGTACATGATATGAAACACTCTTCAATGGACAGTTGACTAGAAAGTCAGAGAAGTTTTTGAGAAAGAATCTAGTCCAGCCGTGGGCAAACTACGGCCTGCGGGCCGGATCCGGCCTGTTTGAAATGAATAAAACTAAAAAAAAAAGACCGTACCCTTTTATGTAATGATGTTTACTTTGAATTTATATTAGTTCACACAAACACTCCATCCATGCTTTTGTTCCAGCCCTCCGGTCCAGTTTAAGAACCCATTGTGGCCCTCGAGTCAAAAAGTTTGCCCACCCCTGATCTAGTCCATCCCAAATCAATTCATGTCTAGGTCATATTTATGGAGGTTTTGATGAGAAAAGAATGCACTGCCCTATCTGGTTACCCAGTTGACCACTCAAATTTGCTATCAGAAAGTTCTACATTTTGTATTTATAATCTCCATTCTTTCCAATGCAGGTGAATCCCATTTTCCACTCTTTAGGTCCCCAAAAATAGGCAAGAAGCAATTTCCTACGTGTAAACCCTCAGCTTCTCTGAAGCAAATAACTGTCATCTCTCAGGTTTCTCTAAATGTAATAATCCTAGTTTCCTTATCCTTTCTTAAAGAGTTCAACTTTATACATAATTCACTTTTCTGTGCCTCCTCCTCAAAGGCTATGTAATCACCTGAAGTTGTGGCACCAAAATCTAGACCTGTATTCATATCAGGGTCTGACCATGTAGCTGAAACATACGACTGTTAGTTCTATATCCGTGGCCTACAGTGATTTGCCTCTGCTCAAATTGTACCAACATCACCTATAAAACCATATCCCCATGGAAAGTCAACACAAAGGAAAGAAAACAAAGCCCCAAGATACCTGTTTTCATTGCATAAAACAGAGTTAACTATGTCTTGATTCTTTAAAGCTTACTGTAGATATATCTGAAATTGTAATTTTTGGAGGTCAAAAGTTGTCATTAAACAATTCAGGATGCAGTGTGTTAAAATTTTGATGTGACATACAAGCCCAGGGGATATTTCCTTGCTTGACTTTATGTAGCTGTTATAATTAGGCACATGGTAGCAAGACTTTACAGAGTCGTGCATCTATATAATATATGACATGCCATAAGCATATTAAGTGCATTCTCTCCATTAAGTTGCTGAAGAGTCTTCCCATATATAAGCCAAATAGGACATTTATTCTCAGAGAAATTAAACTATAAACCTGATTCAAATACATATACAATTTTTAAGTGAAGGGAAGCGATGGGCAAAATAAAATGAAAGATTAAAACCAAAAATACTGATATTTTACACTGTAGAAAATGCTTGCACTGACAATGATATTGTTAGAGACGAGATCGATGGCTGAAACTAGTCCATGTGATGAATGTAATACTACTAACACACTTTTACCTGCAAGGATTTTTCTGGCTTTAATTCAATGAAATCCATTATCCTGGGTGGTAATGGAGGCCTGTACCCTACTCATCTTAGACATCTTTAGTCTCCTGCGCTGCCCTAAAGCCTTGGCATAATAAAAGGTCAAGCAGATCCCAGTAAGCATTTGTAAACTACAATACCCGCCCCCCACCCCCCATTTAGGCTACAAGCCACACATTCTTTTGCTAAGCTTTGCTCTCTCTTATTCCATTTCACTGTATAAGCAGATTCATTTGGAAATGGCTAGGGTACTTAGGAAATACCTAGATTTACTTGACCACCTAAGTAAGTGAATCCAGAATACAACATTTGAGAGAACTCTAAAATGGTGCCTGGATACTGAAGGAATGAACAGCAAATAGCATCACTATTAAATAAAATGAATGCATTTCACCATCCAGCTTGCCTGTGCTTTCTGGGACACAAGGCACAAACATGAAAGGGAAGGGGTAGAATTCCAAGAAAACTGATTTGTTTCCACAATCATTTGGCAAGACGCTGTACACAAAATAATACCACAAGCCACCTCCCTTTCCCATCATTGTCAAGTCCGGGTTCTCAAATCACCCCCCACAAACCTAATTAAAAATAAAGAAAAGAGGCCGGCTATGAATTCACATCGAGGGCGACGATACATATTAAATGACAGGCATCTGTCCTAATTGGTCACAACAAAACTGATGGGCAATAACAAGAATAAATCTCACATTAATCCAGATGAAGTCAATGAATAATTTCACAAACCAGAAGCATACTTTCAAAAATATCCAATTACCTCCAAGCATGCAAGGGCATTTGATAACCCATAAGAACGATTGCAAAGAACGCTTTGCACATAAATATGTTTCATAAATGCACTCTAAGTGCTAAGTAATGTGTATATACGTTATGCATATCCATAGAGTATACATTTGTGTAGTCACAATGAAATGTATGCACTGAAAATGAAACTGTACCCAGCAAATGGTTTCTCAACAAGAGCACATAAGAATACGGAATAGGACGCTCAATTCTGGGGCCACCTTTCCCACGCAATGAGGGAGAGAAGCAAAATCACCTTATCATTAGACAGAGAAGCTTATGAAGCACTGAATGTGTTTTGGAGGAAGGCCTAGCCCTGAATGTGGGAGCTGCAACTGAAATGATTCCTTTCAATAACACCCATTTCTTGTTAGCTTTTTCCACCCCCTGGTTCTGTTGCTAAGCTTAGAAGGACAGGAACCAAGTGGCTCACTCTGCATTGTAAGCCAGTTAAGATAAAATCAGAACACCATTTTTTTTTTTAAACGGGAGCGGATGCCTTCTTACTTCTCTCCTCCTGGCAACCTTCCTCTATCTCCATCCCCATCTCTGTCTCTACATCTTCTCCCACTCTAAGGGAGTCATTGTTCCAGTGCAGGCCACAGATGTATACACAGGGCATTTGGGAACAAACTAAACCAAGAAGATAGCTCCACTGTGTCTTACTCACCATGCTGAGACCCCGAGAAGCTGTTGAAAGGAGGGAGAGGTGCAAACTGAATCCATTTTCCTTGTGACCGAGTCGGATGCAGCCTCCGAACCCAACATCAGCAGCGGCTGCTGGGATTTTTTTTTTTCACCCTCAGTCTCTGGCTGGCGATGGTGCAAAAAGGAACCACCCTTCCAGCCCCACTAGAGTATCAGCAGTCCAGGCGGCGGCAGCACCAGCATCACCACTTGGGCCTCCTCCCTCTCGGAGGATGGGGTGAGCTCAGAAGCAGCCAGGAACTTGCAGCAGACACCTCCTCTGGCTCCTCCTCTCCTGCCCCCTCCCCCACAGCCCCTCCCCTGCTGCGGTAGAGGCTGCCCGTCCCCGCAGCTGCTGGTTGTCATGGTAATAACCAATGGTAAGCGATCAGACTAAGGGAGAGGGGAGATGGGTGAAACGCTGGAGGAGCTGGAGGGGAGTGAATTTGTGCTGCTGCCCTCTGGGATGCTCTTGGGCTCTCCTATCTTGGACTCTGGCTCTTTAAAAGTGGGGCAAGGGTGCATAGGCACGGGAAGAAAATAATTTAAATTGAATCGAAATCTAGACTCTAACATACAAAACAGCTCAGCTATTTGTGCATTTTATATGGTTTTTCCAGTGAAATGTATTAAGTTTGCAATCAGAAAAAATATGGAGAAAATTATGTCCTGTAATAGGAAATTATTATCACTCCAGATATGTTTGTCCTTTGTAGCATCTTTTACTCAATGCCACTCAAGGTTGTTATAAAGCAAAAGGAGTGGCTGGACTTTGCAATAAAACAAGAATCTGATTCCTTGGCACTGTTCTCCCTTGTTCTTTTCAGGAGAGTTGCTTGGTCTTACTGTTTTTTTCCAGCTCCCCCTGTGAAGAAGTCCCAGCATTCATTGGCACTACCCTGTGGAAGAGGAAGATGGAACAGAGGAAACAAATTCCTTGAGCAATCAGGGTTCTCAGTAGCATAAGTTGGTGGATAGTTCCAAACCTTTTTAGTTCATTTCCTGCGGTAAATTCCATGCCATTTTCATGAATGCTCTTTTGGAGGTCCCAAGGAGTGAGGTCAGCAGTATTGAGGTTTAGGTGAGTTGTCTCTGGCTATAAATTATAGATGACACTGGTATTTATCTCATGCAGTAGTTGTAAAGATCAAATGAGATAATGCACTAAAAGCACTTGGCATGTAGTATGTGTACAATAAAGATTACCAGTAGTAGTAGTACATTGTATTCATGTCTTAATCCAAGAAATTAAAGGAATAGCATGGCAGTTACAAATATGGGGGAAAGTAAGGTGAGAAAACACTTAATACATGTTATCTGTGATGATGATGATGACAATGACAAATATAGGGAGGCCTGAGAGATTAAAAGTACGTACTCTGAAGATTAAAAGATTAATGGAGGACGTTCTAAGTCCTAAAGGAGTTGGATAAATTTCCCCAATTGACACAGCTAATAAGAGGCAGAGCCAGAATTAAAACTCTGGCTCTCCTAACACTAACATCTGCTCTTGTTTAACCATTGCAGTAAACCCTTGATTTTTCAGACCTTGATTAAACAGACTTTGGATTTAACAGACAAATTTTTCGCTCTGTATGTTATGTGTGAAAATTAACACCCTGTTAATTTTTAAATGCTTTTAGCCAAGATTTGCTTATGATTAAATTAACAGGTTATTTTTTTGTTATTTATTCACTGTTCTTTTAAACAAATTTTAGTGAATAGGTCATATGTTGGACAAAACATTGTAGTAATTTCACCAACATAAATAAATATGACATAGCTACAACTATAGTCTAAGTATTTAAATCCAAGAGTCACCTCTCGTAAACAATGTTCGGGGAGTGATTAGCACGTGATCACACTGCATCTCGGGGCAATTGATTCTGTTGTCACGTGGTGTGACTTTCTGCAGCAGTTTTAACAGGTGCTGGCCAATGTTTCCACGTGCGCTAAGCCACGCCCCAGCTGTGTGCATTTGTTTACTCACAGTGACTGGTGAATGCACACGTTTATTAGATCTCTTCAAAATAAATTAAAAATTATAGTAATACACATAGAAAACTTTTATGTGAAATTAAACTTTCATACATACTTAATTTTGATTACACAAACATGTCTACATAAAGGTAAATGAACTAAGTTGTCAAATTTTTAGCATACGAATTCGGAAAACCTACTTTATTATATAGTGGACTTACAGCTTTGATAAACCTCCCCTTGCCCGAATTAGTCCGTTATATTGAGGTTTTACTATACCACTCTAACAGAAAAGGAAGATATTCTGTTCTTCACCTATCGGATTATTTGTAGGTTCAAAGGGGATTAATACAAGTTTCAGAGCCAGATAGCCTGAGCTTGATTTACTATAGATATGGCATGGGGCTTGTTAATTAACTTCCCTGAACCTAGGTGTTTCACCTGTGAAATGGTGCTAATCATAGAACCTGACAGATCATCGTGACAATTAAATAGGTTGATGCATATAGAGCATTAGCGTGGCTAGTACATAGTAAATGTTCAGTAAATATTAACTATAATCATTTGTTACTCATTCTTACGTAATTAATATGAACGTGTGAGAGGACTTTTTCCTGCATGGAAAAGGTCTTGATGCTAGGGCCTTATTCTGACAAAACTGACTTAAAGGTATCTCACTTGTGGAGAAAAGGGTTACAGCTCACCCTCAGCACTCCTGCTCTGCGCAGCTGGTGGGCCCTACCTCCCACCAGAGCCTGAAAGTCAATCACACAGTCTGCACGCACTTCTACATCAGCATCACTGTCCGGGATTTTCCCCACAATCGTCTTTGCCACAGCATTTTTGCAGCATCACTAATTGGCAGTAAGGAAATTGTGTTGTAAAAGATACTGTAAACCAATTGACAGTGTGGGTTTGTTTTTGTTTTATTTATTTATTTAGGTGTGTGTGTGTGTGTGTGTGTATGTGTGTGTGTGTGTGTGTGTGGAGGGGTTCATTTCTCCATTGATGAGTCAATCTCCGTAAAAAAGAAACTAACTGGTTGACAGTTTGGTTTTTTTGTTTGTTTGGTGGGGTTTTTTAGTTTGTACGAATTTCTCACAGTGACTCCATTTTTATATTACATATAAATCTTAGCCCTCATAATGGCCTACACAGTTACCAGTAGACATGGTGCTGGTGGTCTTAACAGCATTTCTTCTGTTACAGAAAACCGGAGAAGAACCAAGCAATGCTTAGAGAGATGGAGTTACATTTATTATTGTGCGCGGGCCCAGAGGAAAATGTCTTTCAAATTCTGGGCGAAATCACACAGGAAGTTTCCTGTATTTATACCATCTTACCCTCTGTCTCCCCAATATGGGGTTTTACTGGTTCCCTTTGCAAGTTCGTAAAGGGCCCTACGCGCTGGGGCTTTGAGACTTCAACCAAAGGCTTGGCCCAGCGGTTCTCAACCTGTGGGTCGCGACCCCTTTGGCAGTCGAACGCCCCTTTCACAGGGGTCGCCTAAGATCATCCTGCATATCAGATATTTACATTACGATTCATAACAGTAGCAACATTACAGTTATGAAGTAGCAACAAAAATAATTTTATGGTTGGGTCACAACATGAGGAACTGTATTTAAAGGGCCAGAAGGTTGGGAACCACTGGCTTGGCCTGACACCAGCACTGATAATTTTGTCTGGAGAAGGTTTAATCGCCTCCTGAAATGGGAGTAGTCTTATTTTCCTTATTATTTAAGCCAACAAGCATTCACAGAAGCCAGAAATAGCACAGTTAAAATTTCAAACAGCAGTTTTTATATAAGATGGATGCTTCACTTCCAGATGATGAGGATTTTCCCCAAGAGTTGGTGGCTTGTTATTTTGAAACACATCCTTTTGAGAGAAGAGAGGCGAGGGCCCGCTGAGGGCAGAGTGGACCACATTTCCCACAGAAGGAAGATGCGAGCTTAGGTACAAACAACAAAGATCAGTTCTTTGAGTGCTATTACCTTGAGGCTACAGACCATTCAAAAACGTATTCGCATACTTTGTATTTTGCAATAAAGTCTTTAACTTTGCTATTCACTTTTTCAGGTTTCATTATGTCCTTTGTAATTTCTCTCCTTCATTTGTCGTTATTGATCTCCTTTACGGCAATATTGCCTTACGGCCAAGCAGTTCTGCGTGGGAGATGTTTGCGGCCACGAAGCCTGGGGCAGGCGGACCTAAACCGTGAGCGCCAAGTAAGTGAAGTTCTGTCGGCATGAGGGGAGGGGATGTGATGACCTCGCTGCCTTCGCAGTGTTCATCTTCCGCTGTCTCCACAGGGAAGGGCTTGTAGGTGAGCAGGGCGGACACCTGCCGGCGCAGGAAGCGCCCTGTTCAGGGGACAGTCCTCCGCGGGCCCAATGAGGAGCGTTCGTCCAAGCCCAGCGCTGCCGTGTTGTGTTGGGTGAGTGGTTCCGTTTCCTCTTACCGTTCACACAAACAGGATCCACGGGGGAGAGAAAATGTTCCCTGTTTGAACAATTCCCCGTTCACACATTCAAACACTACCCTGTCGGTGTCCGTATCTGTGCAGCACGGTTATCATTATTTAATAATATATTTAATGATTATTTAATGATTTCTTTAGATATTTAATCATGCAGAAGTTATTTTTTATTTGACTACTGGTTACTTATTTATTTTAAAATGAAATTTGTCCCTGGCTTTAGCAGAACAGTAATAAAAATAGGCGTGGCTGCCCTAGAGCCTCGGCCTGCAGACTGAAGGGTCCCAGGTTCGATTCGGGTCAAGGGCATGTACCTTGGTTGCGGGCCAGTAGCGGGTGTGCAAGAGGCAGCTGATGGATGTTTCTCTTTCATCGATGTTTCTAACTCTCTATCCCTCTCCCTTCCTCTCTGTAAAAAATCAATAAAAAGTATATTTAAAAAAATAGGCATGGTAGAGAGGGTATGCCCAGTAAAAGGAACTTAAAGCAAAACCAGGCCTCTTTTTTTTTTTTTTTTTTTTTGTAAAACAGAAACTTCAACTGTATTTGTAATGATTTCTAGTCAAAAGACTAAACTTTAAATTTTATTTCTTCTCTTCATTGCCATCCCCTCTCCTAGCATACTTTATTTTTCCATAGTATTTATCCTCTAATATATTATTTATTTGTACCTTAAAATTTTTTATCTGTGCCCACTAGAAGGTAAGCTATGAAAGAACAGAGATTTAACAATTTTTTTTCAATTACAGTTGACATACAATGTTATATTAGTTTCAGATGTACAACACAGTGATTAGACATTTGTATAATATATAAAGTGATCAATCAGCCCAATAAGTCTAGTGCCTATTTGACACCATACAGTTATTACAATATTATTATTGACTATATTCCCTATGCTGTACTGTACATCCCTGGGACTGTTTTTATAACTGGCAATTTGACATCTTTTTTTAAAAAATAAATCTTTATTGTTCAGATTATTACAGTTGTTCCTCTTTTTCCCCCCATAGCTCCCTTCCACCCGGTTCCCACCCCACCCCAGGCCCTCACCACCCCACTGTGCTAGGTGTCCTATAGGGCCCAGTGGCTCAGCCTCCCCAATCACCTGAGGTGGACACTCTTGGTGCACCCCTTTGTAGGCTTTGTGCACAGTCTTGTTGTAGTTAAGCCTTGATTGCTGTTGGCATCACTGGGAGGAATTGACCTCCAGGTCAATTGGCTGTGAGGACCAGCTGTGTCTACAATGGAAGAGCTGCTGTGCAGGAGACACCCTTATGGGGCAGGACGTGCTTCAGTGGGGCTTTGGTACTCACTGAGTCTGCCCCCTGAGTGTGTCGCTTATGGATGTGAAGAGTTATAATCTGGTATGGTCTCACTCTGACCACTGGGTACACTGGCTCTTGCATCTCCAAGGAGGTGCAAAGTCAGCCACTGCCTGGGGATACCCAGCAGGAGCTACAGAGAGATCTGCAGATTTCTCTTCTTTGTATGGGGTTTGGAAGTGCCCAGATGAAGCCCAGCTGTGAAGCAAGGCAGGCTGCTGCTGGTGCTGGCCTTGTGCCTTCTTTTGATAGCTTTGGGGCTCCCTGACCCAGCTGCAGCTTGTTTGGCAGGTTTTAGGCTGAGAAAGGACAGGCCATTCATATGCAAAAGCTGCTGTGCACAGCTTGGGTGGGGTTGTAAATTGGGTAGGGCAGGGTCTCAGGGAATCTCCAGGGTAGAGCAAACAGCAATGGCTGCTAGTCAGCCCTGCACTGGGGAGGTCCCAGCACAGGAACAATGACCATTGCAAGCACCTCCATCTGGAAGAAAGCCGCCCCCATGTTCTTGCCCCGATTCCAGACAGTCCAGTTTCTCCCCATATGTGTCTGGGTCCCCCAGAGTCTTGGCCGGCACTGGAGCTCAGAGCAAGTGGGAGCTTGTATCTCCCTCCCAATTAAAAAAGCAGCGCACCCGGGTGCCAGCCTGTTCCGCGCCTCCGCACCTCCTACCAGTCTCAACGCGTTTTCTTCTTTATCTCTCTAGTTGTACTTCCACTCAGCCAGCTTTCCCACGGTTCTGGATGACAGTTGTTCTGTATCTTAGTTGTAATTTTGATGTGGTTGTGGGAGGCAGCAAGTACAGGTGTTTACCTATGCTGCCATCTTGGTTCTCCTGCAACAGATTTTTGTATATTAATTTTGTATCCTACAACTTTACTGAATTTTTGTTTATTTCTAATAGTTTTTTAGTGGAGTCTTTATGATTTTCTGTATATAACATCATATCATCTTCAAATAGTGACAGTTTTACCTCTTTCCAGTTTGGGTGGCTTTTTTCCCCATGCCTAGTTGCTCTGGTTACAGTACTATGTTAAATAGGAGTGGTGAGAGTAGGCACCTTGGCTTGTTTTCAATCTTAGAGGAAAACTTTGAACTTTTCACCATTGAATATGATGTTAGCTATGGGCTTGTAAAATTACCTGAGGTGGACACTCTTGGTGCACCCCTTTGTGGGCTGTGTGCACAGTCTTATTGTAGTTAAACCTTGATTGCTGTTGGTATCACTGGGAAAAATTGACCTCTAGGCCAATTGGCTGTGAGGACCAGTTGTGTCTACAATGGGAGAACCTTCTGTGCTGGAGACACCCTATGGGGCAGGACTTGCTTCAGTGGGGCTTTGGCGCTCACTGAGTCTGCCCCCTGATTGTGTCTCTTATGGATGTGAAGAGTTGTAATCTGGATGGTCTCATTCTGACCACTGGGTATTACTGGCTCTTGGATCTCCAAGGGGTTGCAAAGTCACCCACTGCCTAAGGCCACTCAGCAAGAGCTACAGAGAGATCTGCAGATTACTTTTCTTTGTTTGGGATTTGGAGGTGCCCAGATGAGGCACAGCTGTGAAGTAATGCAGGCTGCTGACCAGCCTTAGGCCTTTTGGAAGCTCTGGGTTTCTCTGACCCAGCTGCAGTTTGACAGGTTTTTAGGCAGAGAAAGGCCAGGCCATTAGTATGCAAAAGCCTCTTTGCACAGCTTGGGTGGGGTTGTAAATTGGGTGGGGCGTGGTCTCAGGGAGTCACGGGGCGGTGCAAACAGCAATGGTTGCCATCGGCCCTCCCCTGATAGGTCCCTGGGTCTCTATGTCCCTCGGCCCCACGTAGGAACCATGGATGCTGCAAGCACCTCTGCGAGAAAGCCGCTCTCACGTTCCGACCTGATGCCAGACAGTACAGTTTCTCTCTCTATGAGTCTGGGTCCCCAGATTCTTGCCCAGAACTGGATTTCAGAGCAGTCAGGAGCTTGTATCTCCCTCCCGGTTGAAAAAGACAACAGCATACCCAGCTGCCAGCCCCTTTTGCACACGCCTCCGTACCTCCACACTTTCACACCTCTGCACCTCCTATCGGACCCAATGCGCTTTTCTCTTTCCTTCTAGTTGTAGAATTTCCACTCAGCCAGCCTTCCTGTGGTTCTGGATGCTATTCATTTTGTCTTTTAGTTGTAGTTTTAATGTGGTTGTCCGCGGCAGCAAGTTCAGGTGTTTACCTATGCCGCCATCTTGGTTGTCTTGGCAATTTGACATCTTAATCCCTTTCCCTTATTTACCCATTCACATCCTCCATCTGGCCATCATCAATTTGTTCTCTGTATCTATGAGTTTGTTTTTGTTTTGTTTGTATTCCACATGTAAGTGAAATGATATAGTATTTGTCTTTCTCTGACTTATTTCACTTAGCATATTATCCTCTAGGTCCATCATGTTGTTATAAATGGCAAGATCTCATTTATTTTATGGCTGAATAATATTCCATTGTATATATGTAGTACATTTCTTTAACCATTCATCTATTGACACTTAGGTTGCTTCCATATCTTGGCTGTTTAAATAATGCTGCAGTAAACATAAGGGTACATAGGTCTTTTGGAATTAGTGATTTGGATTTCTTCAAATAAATATCCAGAAGTATTGCTGGGTTATATGGTGATTCTGTTTTTAATGTTTTCAGGACCCTCCATGCTGTTTTCCATAGCTGCTGCACCAATTTACAATCCCATCAACAGTGCAGGAGGGTTGCCCTTTCTCCACATCCTCGCCAACATTTGTTATTTATTTATTTATTGATAACAATTCTGACAGCTGTGAGATGATATCTCATTTCATTTTTTATTTGCATTTCCCTGATGATTAGTAATGTTGAGCATGTTTTCATATGCCTATTTGATGTATGTGTGTCCTGTCCTCTTTGAAGTAATGTCTAGTCAGGTCTGCTGAAAAGGGAGGAGGAGTTTTTTGTTTGTTTATTTGTGAACTGTGCTGACCCATATTAAATGCTCAATAAATATTTCTTGAATGAATAAACCACTAAATAAATATAATAGCAAAAAGTTCTGCATTGAGTTATGGCTCTATATGTTATAGTATTTTTTCAGTTATATATTTTTGATATTTCTCAAAATTAAAAAGTAATAATTGTTTTATTTGTATACATGCAAATTAGCATAATGTGTGTCTAATCCATATCTTAAATATAAATAGCTATTAAAATGGAAATGTTTATGCATGCATATTCAAAGTCATCTAGCATATTACCAGTGGTATGCATGGGTTCTTTGGGAAATACTGATTTTGTACTAAGAGTGTCTTCCCAGTAGTACAGTTACCAGACTTGTCTACCTCTTCTGGGACCTTTTCAACTTTGACTTCTGAATTCTTTGAGATTTCTAAAAAAGTACAGGGTGTGGGTCTTGGCTCCAGAACAGCATTAAATTTTCAGGAGAAACCACAGCATAATGGAAGGAAGCTGCAAAGTATGGTCTCTGGAGACAGACTGCTTGGATCGAGTCCATACTTCATTTGTTTTCTGAGTGACCTTGGGTAAGTTGCTTAATCTCTCTGTGCCTCAGTTTCTTCCTTGTATGACATAATAGCATTACTTACTTATTGGATTGCTTTGAAGATCAACG